ATCTTGTTTAGGGTTCTCTGTGTTCCTGGACCTGGATGTCTGTTTCTTTCCCGTGGTTAGAGAAGTTTCCAGCAATTATTTTTTCAAGTAAGTTTTCTGCCCCTTTCTCTCTTCTCCTTCTGGGATCGCTATAATGAAAATGTTAATATGCTTGAAATTGTCCCAAAGACTCCTTAAGCTATTCTTATTTTTGTTTTTAATTCTTATTTCTTTTTGTTCAGTTTGGTTGCTTTCCATTTCCTGCCTTCCACATCGCTCATCCGTTCTTCTGTGTCCTTTAATCTGCTGCTGTTACTCTCTAGTGTTGTTTTCATTTCAGTGACTGTATTCTTCAGCTCTGCTTGGTTCTTTCTTAGATATTCTATCTGTTGAAGTTCTCACTAGGTTCACCCTCTCTTGTTTCAAGTCTGGTGAGCTTCTTGTTGACCATTACTTTGAACTATTTATCAGGTACGTTGTTTATCTTGTTCTTTCACTTGGAGTATATTCCTCTGCCTCCTTATTTTGTTTTATTTTATGTATTTGATTCTGTGAATTAGGCAGAACAGCTACTTTTCCTCGTCTTGAAGGATTGGTCTTATGTAGGACTGTCCCATACAGACTGTGTATGCCTGCTGGCTTTGGCTGGCTGGAGCTGTAGTGGGCATGGGCTGGAGTGGGGTCTCTGGGTGTCCCACACAGGGTGTACCCTAGTGGGACAGCTGAAGCTGAAGTGGGCAGGGCTGGGGGTGTCCTGGGGCACTCTACATGGGGATTGCCCTGATGGACCAGCTGGAGTCGAAGTGGGCTCAGGCTGGTGGTCCCAGGGCGCTCTACACAGTGGGGACCTTAGTAGGAGAATTGAGCTAAAGTTGCTGTGTGCTAGGGGTGTGGGGCTCCCTAAAGTGCTGGCCAGTTAGTTATACCCTGTTCTAGTCTGAGTGATCAGGCAAGTTGGGGGCCATAAACAGGGTGCTCACCAGCCCCTTTGGCCCTGGAATGTGTTCCCACAGGCCTTGGCCGTTTGGCTGAGGGTTAGTTTTCTTTTTATATCCTAGTTGTCTTTTAAACCTCTGCTTTTTTGTGTGTGCCTCAGTGGGGCTTGGGCTGATGTGGGCTAGGGTCCCAGGGTTTAGTGAAGTGCCAGGCCAGCTAGGGTGGCCGTGTCCCACTCCCATCTGTGTGTCAGTGTTGGGCTTGGGGGAGGGAGAGAACATATACAGTGGCACTTGCCAGCCCTCTGACCACTGGAGACTATTTCCTCAAGTCCCAGCTGTTCGGCAGACACTCAAGGGCTGGTTCCTTTGAATTCTAGTTGCCCTTTGAAACTGAGGCTTTTTTCCATGCCTTAGGGTGGTAGAATCTGTTCCTGGTTCCTTGGTTCTGTTCCTCCCCTCTGCAGTTTGCAGTGTCCAGGTGAGGTTCCTGTTGTTACTATGTCTCCATCTCTTCTGTTCTCTTTGTGGTCCCTCTGTCCTTTGTTGCGCAGAAGCTGTTCAGTCAGCCCTCAGTTCTTTTTCCAGAGGAATTACTCTATATGTTGGTGTAGATTTGGTTTGTCCATGGAGGGGAATTCAGGGTCTTCCTCCATCACCATCTTGGACCCTGTCTCCTGAAAGCAAGTCACTATTTGTATCAGAAAATACTCTAAGGGGTGGTCTGTATTGTCAGAGTGCAGCAAATAAGTGAACTGAAATAATGATTATATCATATTAACAAAGTCTCTGGTTTTGCAAAAATGTTATGCAGTTAGCCAGTTCTGCTTAAGTTGTTTGGCTGATGGCATGGTTTTCTCCTGTATTTGTCAGTGGGTCACTTCTAGATGTTTAAGCTATAGAGGGTTATTTCATGGAATCTTACTCTGAATATCAGACATCAAATGAAGTACATTTGAAAAAGGATTTGTTGAACTTTCGGTGCCTTTTCGCTGAGACACACACAGGTTTTATTGAACAGGTATGCAGTCTCACTTCTGGGTTTGGTTTAACGATGGTAGTGTACTGAGTAGAAGTGTTTAATTCCAGCATTTGGTTTCTCCATTTTTTCATAGATCCAGGCTCTTATATGGTTGGCATGCCAGATGAGGGGAGTGGATGTGTCAGGTGAGCTCATAAAAGGCTGGTGGTTGAGTAGGGGTCATGGTCATTGTGTATCAGAGAAAACAGTGTGGAAATTTTAGTCACAGGGAGGCCTAGGTTCAAATGCCAGCTCATTTACTGTAACTCTTAGTCCCAGTCTCTTTTGTAAAATGGAGTTAGTTATCTAATTTGTAAGGTATTTGAAAAGATTGTGGTGTGAAAAGTACCTGGCATATAGGAAGTGCTCAATAAATAGTGGCTATTAATATTTTCAACAAAGTCCTGAGACTATAACCTCTGATACCAGTGTGTTGTTTCCATTTGTAACTCCTTATACGTGTTGTATGTGCTTGGTAGTCAGTAAATGCTATGTGTCAGTAATTTGGAATTCCAAAATCTGGCTTAAAAAGACTACTACTAACTAAGAGAAGTTATGTATTCATTATAAAAAACATGGCATATGAAACAATTTCAGTAAATAAGGCTTTCAAAGGAATAGGTTGTAGCAGGCATTCTACTGTGAACGCATTGACTCTGGAGGGCCACAGAAACCAAGGCATTCCGGAGTTTAGCAGCTTTAGTGTGAGTCCATATTATGGTTTCAGTTAAATAGAAAAGGACTCGGGGGGCTGCGCCTGGGTGGTTCAGTTGGTTACGTGTCCAACTTCTGATCTCAGCTCAGGTCTTGATTTCAGGATTTTGAGTGCAAGCCCTATGTTGGGCTCCATGCTGGATGTGGAGCCTACTTATTAAAAAAAAAAAGGAAATGACTGACATGGTATATTTCTCAAAAGCTACATTGTGTTGCATTGTGTTGTGAATTGTGTTAGAAATGATGACATGTGGTTGCTGTCATCCTAGAGGTGCCACAGGAACCAGCAGGAGGAGGTGTCTGGGGGAGGTGGGATCATTGATTCCTGGTACCAAATGCATAGGCATGGCAGTCAGGAGCAGCATACTGGGTCTGGTAGCGCGGGGTGACACCAGCTCAGGGAAGATAGGTAGAATTTGGCCTTCAGTGCAGTTCAGAAATAATAATAATACTTCACCGCATAGCTTGCATGTGCTGGTTAGGGAGTGGAAGGGAGGTGGGGGTCTGCACAAGAGTCGAGCAGGCCCAGACAGCGCGGTGAACTCAGGAGGAGAGGAGAGAGATGGATCAGAGAATATCCTGAGCATCCTGTGATAATTGGATTTGATGAGGGTTAGGGAAGAGTGGCAGGTGCAGATGAAGCATTCCATGTTAGACGTGCTGAGTTCTGGGGGCTTGAGGATTTGGTGGAAATAAAGGTACAGCAGACAGTGGGGTAGAGGACTCTGAACCTACCACAGTCTGGGCCAAGAGGAGGATATGACTGGCATCATTAATGTGGAGGTGGGAGCTGAAAACCACAGATGTCTTGAGCTTTCCCAGAAGGAATGTCTGTGTTCCCAAGGGAAGACTCAGACTGAGGACAGAAGTGCCCATGTGAGGGATAAGCAGTGGGGGGAGCAGCATGAAATAGGAGCTCTTGGGTAGTGAGCTAAATGCTTGTTCTGTTCTTTTAATGGCACATGTTCTTGGCTAAAATGGAAGATGTTTTGGTAAGTTAAGAGTTTGTTCAAACAAAGCTATATTATTTTGGTATTTTCAGGTAACTGTGTACGGAACTGTTTTATTAGTACTGTACTATGTTCTACCCCTTGCTTATTTTTCTATTTCCACTGTAGGCATAGCATTTTAACTGTACCCTTGAAATGAAATCACACAGATAAAACTGAATTTCTGCAGTTGTGTTTACAATACAAATGATCCTTTTTGTTATTTCCCTTTGAAGGTCTAGTTTTCTGATACATGGGTATTTTACTTTTCATTCACCGATCATTTAACTGAATTCATAGGCCATGCTGTAGAACACTGACAGAGGCTTGAAGAATTGTTTTTATGGCTAGATAGGTCACTGGTGCTCTTCCCTTACTGGTTCCTCTTGATTCCTTGATCTTTTAATGGAGAGGTGACCTATTAGGTGTTAGGCCTTGGACCTATTCTGTGTCTGGATTCATTCTTTGGGGAGGGGTCTTAGGCCTATGGCCTTAAATATCATCTATACATGGATGAATTTATATCTCCATTTTCGACCTCTCCTCTAAATTCCAGACTTTATATACTTCTTACTCCATGTTAACGGGCATCTTCAGCATGATAGGTCCAAATCCAGACTCCTGTACTGCCCCAAAGCGCTCTTTCTGCAGCCGGACCCACGGTAGCTCATGGCAGCTCAGTCTTCCATTGGTTTCAGGCAGAAATCTCTCAGTCATTCTTGACTGTTCATTTCCCCCACGTCAGCACCTCCGCTGCTACCACCCTGCTCAGCTCTTTCTCACAGTAGCCTCCCAACTGGTGTCTCTGTTTCCCCTCTTGTCCATGTAGTCTGTTCTCAGATCAGCAGTCACAGTAGTGAGTCAGACACCCTTCTGGGAACTCCAGTGACTCCTAATTTTATGGAGAATAAAAGTCCAAAGGTCTTAAAATGGCTACAGGCTCCAGCCTCATTTCCTGCTACTTTTCTCACTTGTTCCAGGCACACTGGTCTCCTCACCCAGCCCTCCCAACAGGCCAAGCCCCCTGCCACCACCTCTGTACTCGTCCACCTCCTCCACTCCTGTGTCCAGACTCCCCTCTGCCTGAATGCTCTGCCCCACCTCATTCCCATTCCCACCCTTGGGTCTTGACCCAGATGTTTCCTTCGTAGGAGTATCCTATTTAACACTGCATTTCAACTTTGTATTTTCTGTCCTTCTTACTGCTTAATTTTTCTCCATAATGCCATCTGACAACTCCAGCTAGATCGAAGGCAGAGATCTATTTTGTTCACCGCTTGGTAAACAGAAGGTAGTCAGTAAATATTTAATATGGAATTAACTTTATTGTATTATGAAAGAAATTTTAACTTTGCTCTTCAGGTTTATCTCTAACAAGTATTTAGTGAAACGGCAAAGCAGAGACTATGATGTGGAGTGGGGCTATGCCTTCGATGTGCATCTGAATGCTTTTTATCCTCTCTTAGTCATTCTGCATTTTATCCAGCTTTTCTTCATTAACCGTAAGTAGCAGTTACTTCTTAAACGATCATCAAAAAGTCACCATTGTATGCACTAAAAAGAGATTCAGTGTGCATATCTCTTCCACAGATGTTATCCTGACAGACACATTTATTGGATATTTTGTTGGAAATACCTTGTGGTTGGTGGCAGTGGGCTATTATATCTACGTAACCTTCTTAGGATACAGTGGTAAGTCATGAATTGTTTTGATTGAGTGAAGACATAACAGGGAGAGGGGGGACGTTGCTGTAATAGTAACATAATTAGCTTACTTTTAGATGAATTATCTCATTTAAGCTTCACAATTAGGTTTACTTAACCCCATTTTTCAGATGAGGGCACAGAAATTAATTTGCCCCTGGTCGTGCAGCTAGAAAGTGGCATGGCTGTTATGTAACAAATTTTGTAATTTTAAGGAGCCCCATTAAACCATATTGATATCTCCAAGTTACTTGCAGGAACCCACAACCCACTTCCTTTTCTCCCTGGCTTTCTGGTTCTGGGTCCCAGTGGCCCATTAGCGTGGGGCATGAGCGGGTCCGACGTATGGTCGCATAGGTAAAGGAACCTTTACAGACCTTTGCTTCACTTTGTTTTTATGATCACTGTGTGGTTCTATAGATGGTCACAAATCAGGCGCAACCTCTACTGATCTGAGGATGTAGTTTGCAGATTTACTGCTAAATCCTGCTAGAAGTTTCTTTTTCTTAGTATGAATGAGAAACCTTTATATTAATTCAGCTTGTCTTTTCTTGTCACTCTGGATGATTAGGACCTCCCTGTAAATACACACCCCTGGTGCTCAAATATGACTGGCTCCTCTAGTCAGAGGTGTTCTCACCCCAGCAGGGACCACACTTGTTCTGGACACGGGGAGTCCGTTCTCCAGAGGAGGTGTTTGTGAAATATTATGTTCAGGTTTCTATGAATTTTCACGTATTTTGAGAAAGTTTTAAATTGTGATTAGCATGCTTCAACATTGTGGTTTCTCTAAATGGATTTTTGAGCACTCTTTTGGTAACTCCCTATAATTTGAGTATAGCTCAGCTTCACTTTGGTGACTTCCTAGAAGAGAAATGTTTAGGTTAGAATGCATGTGGTAGGGACCCACTAAGTAGTGACCAAGAAGGAAACCTAGATATTTGGAGACAGATTTTTTTTTATTATTATTTTTAAATTTATTTAAAGTAGGCTCCACACCCAATGTGGGGCTTGAACTCACGACCCCCAAGCTCAAGAGTTGCATGCCCTACTGACGGAGCCAGGCAGGCACTTGAGGGACAGATTTATTCTTTCCTGAAGCCTGGGATACTTACTAGTTGATCTCTCATGTGAAGGGGAGGTATCATGCTTCCTGTATTGGGAAATCTCAAAGAGCTAAAGGTTGGACTCTTAGAGGCTTCTGAGGCAGTCCCCTGTGTAAATCCACCACTGTTTTCCATATTTGTGCCCTCTGTCCCTTAGTCATCACTTCTCAAGTTCCGAATCTGCTGCTCACCTCTCACCCCGGGTTCCTGGGCGTAGCTGCGATGTGGTGGCGGCAGCGACCCCCAAGAGCAGGGCGCGTGACAGACTCTGGCTTTAGAGCAGTAGCTCACTGATTCAGAACCCGCGTTGCTTTTTGGCCCCACCTGTTGTAGTAAAAACTTTCAGAAAGTTCATTAGTCACATTTCCTTTTTTAAAAAAATTTATTTGATTTCTTTCTTTTCCAGCATTGCCATTTTTGAAAAATACAGTAATTCTTCTTTATCCATTTGCACCTCTCATTCTGCTCTACGGCCTGTCACTAGCGCTAGGATGGAACTTCACCCACACACTGTGTTCCTTCTACAAGTACAGAGTGAAATGAAGGCAGTCTTGGTGAAGTGACGACTGCTTCCGAAACTGGTAAATAAACTATCTTTGTAGATATCTTCAGGGTGTAAAGTTTGCAAATTTGAGTAAATATATAATGTTAACGCTATTGTCAAGTACATTCCGTAAAACTAATTAATGTACATTTCTATAATAAATATTTTTTAAACTAAAGCATGTATTTTACTCATTCAAACATGGTGATAATCAGTTCCTGACAAGGTACGTAGTTTGGCCCCATTTCTAATGGGCTGTGTATTTTAAACATTTGCCTAGTGTAACCTTCAAAAGCCTCCTTGACCTGTAATGTAACTCAAAGGCGAATCACTGTACTATAGGCCATAAAATCATTTACAACATTTTCTATACAAAGGAAACCCCAAACAAACAAAATATATTCGATTGAAGAGGCGCATGGTGGCTCCTCGGTGTACGTAATAGACATTGAACACTTGCATAACACTGATAATCAGTGTCTTAACATGAAGGCTCTTTTTCTTTCTTTGAAGACCTCTCCAAAAAATAGTTTTAAGTAAACTTTATCAGTGTTGAAACTAATAATAACAAAACTTGCTACTCATTAAGTTTTACCTATTTTTATTGGAAGGAATCTTGAATTCAACATGGCTTCTTAAACGTCTTTATTCCAAACACATAAACAGTTGTGGCACAGAGAAAACAGTAATGAAAGGCACAGTCAACAGGACCAGTTATTAGGTTTTCAATTATAGCAGCAAATTTGAAAATAAATAATCTTCCCTTAAAAACCTTATTAACAGGTACCTAAAATATTACTACAGATACTACCCATTCACCCAATGAAAACATTTTAAGGAAAATATGTACAGTACATTTAAGGAGAAAAAAAAAATCTGGTACGGCCTGGAAAAGCAATTCCTCAGGCACCTTCTCTAAGGAGTGCTTCCAGAAACATCCGTGACCTTTCCAAACAGTGTTCTTTATGAGAAACACGTTAGTTTTTTATTCCATAAATGAAACATATTTTCAGTCAGCTGATTTCTAAGTCTTTCTTAGAAAACATCTCTGTCTTCACTGAAATGAAAAATATCAAATCTGCTGGCCTAGCATCTTACAGTACTGTCGATATCAGCCATTTTTAAGGCTCAAAGAATAGGTCTTCAAAAGGTATTTTCACCCAATTTCAGCAAACTGAGCATTTCAAATAATGGAAGGCTAATCATACTAAAGTACCGAAGCTTTGACTCCAGACGGATTTGCTAATTACTAATACCAAAAAACAACTAGGAGCAAGTGATACATAAAGTAGCCTCCCTAATGTCCAAGAGTATCATTAAATATTCCCCACAACAAACAGTCCTATTTGGAGAACAATTTTAGCACCACTATTAACATTTTTACTGCAATGTGAACAACACTGGGAATGATACTTGGCACAAAGTGCTTTCCCATTCAATACCCAGCTTACTTTCTTGAACAATGTCTTCTAAATTCTTAACACGCATACACACACGCATGCACACACATACACACGCTCACACGCACACAGCCAGCTCTTTCCTGTTTGTTCCCGTGAACATGATCTAGTTAGTGCCCAAAAAGGTGGGGTGTTTCAGGCAAGAAGAGGTTATATATAGGTACTGATGATAGGGATATATATAACAATTTTTTTTTTTAATATGGTCGTAGTCTTTTCAGCATTGTATGTTCACATGCATTAAAGAAATAAAGTAAGCCTACTATTTATCATGGCATATATCAAGATTAATAATTAAAATTGTACAGCTGTCAAATTTCACACACTATAAATAATGCTACACAGCTTGGAAAAGTTTCCTTTTCTATAAAAGAAAGAGCTGGGATATCTGGGTTCCCCTAGAACACAAAGATGATTTGGACTCCCAATTTCTGACTTTCTGACAGTCTTAGCCTCTCATTTTATTCCCTTTAGCTCTCTGCTGTTCTTCTATCAAGGGTATGGCAATATAGTAAAAATAAGCACAAAAATTAATCTACAAACCAAAATAAAAACAAGCTCATTAGCATTAATGGCTTGGAAGGAGAGAAGTATTTTGGAAAACACCCACGAAGTACAAAAATTTGGTTGGCACATACAGGATTTGATCTGTTCTTACACAATAAAGTAAGTTTTGGGCTAAAAAAAGTATGTTCTTCAATGCAGAGTAGATTATCTGATTTCTACGAAAAGGTAGAAATTTTTTTTCTCTCCTAATATTTAAAGTACCACTGTTCATCGTTCTTAAATAATATACTGAACAAGCTCAGAGCAGAATAAATCAGCACAAAGTAATACCTCTCCCAGGAAAAAGATTCCATATACACTGGGTCCTCGTTCTGGAATGAGAACAATCCTGTTCTAGTTTTTTTTTTTTACAAAACATTGCTAAGATACTCCCAAGTTTTTGGCAACAAACTTCCAATCAAGACTACTTGAGATTCTCAGGGAGAGAAACCCCAGAGGTGGCCCAGGTGTAAGTTTGCTAGTGTAAGACTTGACTCCCGTGGTTATTAACATCTCCAAGCTAACTATAGGGAATCAAGTAGGAAGACTTTTCCTCCTCACCTCTTTTAAATACTATATTCATTCTCTATTGCTGCATAACAAATCACCACGAATTCAGAGGCTTAAAACAATACCTATTTATTATCTCACAGTTCTGCAGACCAGAAGTCAGGGCGGGCTTGGTTGGAGTCCTCTGCATAGGATCTCACGAGGCTTGAGTCACGGTGTTGGCGGGGCTGGGCTCTCATCTGCTGGAGAAGACTCTAGTTGCAAGCTCCCTCAGTTTGTTGACTGATCAAGTTCCTGTGGCTGTAGGGCTGTAGTTCTGGGTCCCGTGGCTGTTGGCGGAGGTCTCTCAGCTCCTGACAGGCCATTTCTTCTCCTGCGGCCCCTCCATCTTAAATCAGCAGTGGTGCCTCGAGTCCTGCTTTGAATCTGACTTATGCTACCAGCCTAAGAAAACTCTGCTTTTAAAGGGCTCACAGGGTTAGATTAGCTGAACATGATTATGGGTGAGATTCATGGCTTCCACCCACACGCAAAAGGGGAGGATCTCATCTACGGTACCTGAAGGTCACCTGGAGAATTCTGGCTACTACAAATACACAATGCCATTAATGAGAGCAATCGCTCCAAACATGCTGTTTCCGTATTAACCAAACTTGCCTTTGAGGACAGCACTGTTGGGAGACCACCTTTTCGTGACAATAACAGATTGAAAAGAAGCCTTCAGAACGTTGCTGAAGAAAACTTTGAAATAAGGACACCTTCTGATCACTTACTGGTGCAACCCCTGATCTGAAAAGCTGTACCTTTTCCAAAGACCTCTCTGTGGCTGAATTAATATACACATATGTGTCTACAGCCTGCCTGCCAGATCATCCACACGCACTTTTTCCAAAAGCTTTTCAATCTCACTGCCTGAAACCACTGTTCTTGTTTGACGACATGGTAGGACCCCGTGTGTGTGTAAAGAGCACATGAGACTTAGAGAACTCAGAAATCTGGGGTCTTAGAATCCCGGAAACAGTCCTCAACCTTCTTACCTACAATACTCATCATCTGCACTGTGATATATTCTGCATGTCTGCTTGTATCCTCCTCGTCAGAATTCATTACTCTGGTTTCGCCAGTGTCCACATTAGCACTCCTTACACAGTGCTGTCCCAACAGAACCTTCTGCAGGGACAGAAGGTTCTCTATCTGTGCCCTCCACTCCGAGGGCCACGAGCCACATGTGGCTGATGAGCACTTGAACTGTAGCTAGTGTGACTAAGGAGGTGAAGGTTTTATTAATTTAAACTTAACAGCCACCATGTGTCTACTAGCTACTGTATAGGACAGCACGGCTCTAGAGTCTGACAGTTTATGTGAAATACATACCAGATGCAAACCAGGTTTCATTTATCTCTATATAGTAATAATTAAATACTGGACACCACTGGACACTGTCCCCACTCCCTATTCTGATAAAAGTGGTTCAGTGTCCTCTTGAGGCCAAGTATATCCTTCCCTCAGTCCCAGGTACTCTTCACCTCCTCTACCGTTCTGTCCCCAGACTTCACCCAACTACTCTCAAGGGCTACCCCTACAGTGTCTTGCTTGAGGAAAGCATGGCTGTTTCTAATGGTCTAGAAAGGAAGTGGGGGCAGGGAGAGACCAACAATGAGATGATTGGGGAGCACCTGCTGCACCAGAAGACAGACAGGAAGGATGAGTTACAGGCCTACCCCAGGAGCTTGAAGCCTGGTTGGTGGGAGAATGTGCGCACACATACACACACACTCGCCAGGAGCAACCAAAAACTCGGCAGCTGAGTGCGTATGTAAATGTGTGGCAAGGAACGTAGGGAGTTGAAAAGAAAGGAGTGTGGGCTGGGACAGTTGGGCCCCTCGTCCAGCCCCGGACTGGGCACGTGCCACGTGCCAGGCACTATTCCTGGCATGACTAGGCACTGGTAACACTTCACGGGAGGAGTGCACGAGAGAGTCTGTGAAAGGTGGGTGAGATTTGGCTCAAAGTATTCTCAGGAACAGGAGGGGAGAGCTAAGCCTGGGCGGGGACACCGAGCAGAACAGGAAGAAGCTGGCTAGTACGGCTCACCAGTCTTAAGACTGAGCAGCCCTCACTAAAGGCAAGGAGGTAACCGTCACCTCCCTGATCTTCAGTGCATGGTCCTTCTCCCCCAAATCAGCAGTGGGCTACTGTGGAAGGGAAATGAGAGGACTTCTCAACCCACCCCAGAGCTTTCCCTCCTGACACTTGGCTGGTCTAGCAGTCAGCATGTTCAACAGCTGCCAAAGTTTTATAATGAAAGGTCATTCTTTTCAAATGAAATGGGCCTGTGGGCATCAGGCCAGGGAAATGTGAGGACAAAATAAAAAGTAAATTAAAGAAAGTGAAATCTAAAAAACCCAGCAAAAATGTTTCACTAGACTTGGACATAAAAAATTATTCATGGCAATGTGTAACTTTTTAATCAAGGAAAGTAACTGACATGATTCCAGTAGGAGTAATGGAAAGAACTGTACCCTATCCATGTTTCCCAACATTTTTCACTCCATCATACTGTACAGAAAACAAGGCTCTCTGGAAGCTCTTTGTTCAGCATCCTGGGTAACCGCGGGAAGCTCCTCTAGGCAAGGGGCAACTAGCCGGCACCTCCAGCCCCCGGAGGCCTCAGCCACTGGCTAGTCCGAGAGCTCAGGGGATCAATCTCTGCACATCTCTCTGGAACCCACCTGCAACCCCCCGAAACTGATGCTGATCATTTTGGAACTTCTTAAAATACTTTTGTAAAGATCACTGATTGCTGAGGCTGATAGTATTTTTGTTTACAGTAGTAATAACATTTGGAATTGCATGATTAAGAGCAATAAGTACTCTTCAGATATGAATTTACCTGTAAGTTCATAATGCCAACAGAATAAATCATTTTGCAAAAACATACAGCTGCTACAGTACCTCTCCCTAAAAACCAGTATTACAATTTTTTCTGTAAAATTCAATGATTTTGACTCATACAATAACATTACCTAGAAAACATTTTGTCAGAACTCATTAAATGGGTGCAGATATAAAAGGATCAACAAGAGAGAATGCATCTAACTCATGGATCAAAGACAGATTCAAAAAGAAAAAAGAGTTTGTCATTTTACACATCAGAGGGAATGAGTTGAGTCCATGATAATTTGGGTTGAATGCATGACCCCTGCACATTAAAATTTATCAGACTGATTTTTTACACCATAAACAGCATAATAAAATAACCCTCAAGAAGGACATTGGTCTTTAAAATCTTGGCTTTAAGGAATGACAAATGCCTTTGAAAATATTTTGTTCAGAATCACTGCAATTATAAAAGTACTTCAGTTAGGAAATCAATCTAGAATCATTCTTAAATGGCAGTGCATTTGAAAAATGGCATTAATCTGTAATGTTTGCATTTCCAAAGAAAAATATAGAAAGAACTTAAAAAAGCAAGGTAACTTTTCAAAAAAAGTATTGATTCAAAAATTTACTGCACAAAAATATGTACTTCTTAAATGTTTCTAATAAATTAACTCCATAACATTTTTATGTATATTTATATATTTATATATATATATAATCCCTGATAATCTATAAAAGAGGGTCTATAATAGTAAAATAAATGAACTTCAAAAGTACCCCCTTCATAAAATGTATTTAACATTAATTTTTCTCAAATTTAAGGAATGTAACAATATGTACAACTCTTATGTATTAGTATAATACCAAAATAGTACAAGTCATATTAACAGCCTGTCATAACTGTAAAATGTTTGAGTCAAGTTAAAATTGGAGGACAGCTTAGGTTCGAATGAATGCAATTATCCATGGGAGGTTCACTTTCCAAGTGGAAATGACAATCATCTTATCTATAGTAGATTTCACAAGAGGTAGTGTTCAAGTAAAAAAAAGGTACATGCTTAACTATCTTTAATTAACAAATTCACAGGGAAAAAATGTACTGGTTTCTTAGCAGATGATCAGTTGGTGACTTTTTTAATATGAATCTGAAATACAAAATTAACAAGAAGTACAATAAAGGCCTTACACATGAAATCAAAATGTGGTAAAAAACAAAACAACAACATACCATCTAAGCTGTGTCACGGATCACACATACTGTCTTACCTCATTAAGAATGGCCCAAACGGCAGAATTCTGAATAACTGAAAGTCGAAAGGCTGAAATGGGGTTTAGACTGGGATCCACCATTCCTTCGGCAACACCATTCTCAAATTTTCCTTCAAAATAAAAATGAACATGTGTTGGGTAGGCTGAAATCAGCACACATAAAATATCACAGACTTAAAACAGGGAAGAAAAACACCAAAACACTTCCAGTGGAGGTCGTCAGACACGGCCTGGGTGAATTTTTCCCCTTCTTTCTACTTATATTCAACGTTCAAATTTCTCATGAAGTGTATGCTTACATTAGAAGCAACCTATTAAGAGAGGCAGAGCTATACTCTTTCTTACTGCAAATTAAATGTAACATTCTATATATATAGATATATATACCTATATCTATATATATGTTCTTGCATCAAAAATATTTTAACATGCAGGTTTTTAACAAAATGTGACTTAACCAAAGTATACTCTGTACCATCGCTCAGTCCGACCCTTTGAGGGTTAAGTCAGTAATAACAAATTTCAATGCTTTCAGACATACATACAATGGTTGGCCTCGAGCAGGGGCTCAATCTTTATGTATCCTTTCCCTTATCACATCTAGAAGGGATTAAGAAGTGATACCTCCTCCAGGAGGTTCTAATAGAAAACTGCCATTACAAATGACAAGCTGAAAAAGCTCTCCTTAAGGATAGGACCAAGAAGTTCTATAAAAAGGTAGCATGTGCTAGGGAGAGGAGCAAGATGGCGGAGGAGTAGGAGACCTAAATTTCGTCTGGTCCCAAGAATTCAGCTAGATAGGGATCCAACCATTCTGAACACCTATGAACTCAACAGGAGATCAAAGAATAGCAGCAACTCTCTGAACAGAAAAGCGACCACTTTCTGGTAGGTCTCTTCTGATTTGTTTAGCGTATATTTTTCTGTGGTCGTTGTTACCCTGTTAGCATTTTTGTTCTCTCATTCATCTATTCTCCTCTGGACAAAATGACAAGACAGAAAAAATCACCTCAAAAAAAAAGAACAAGAGGCAGTACCGACTGCTAGGGACCTAGTCAATATGGACATTAGTACGATGTCAGAACTAGAGTTCAGAATGACGATTATAAAGATACTAGCTGGGCTTGAAAAAAGCGTGGAAGATATTAGAGACACCCTTTCTGGAGAAATAAAAGAACTAAAATCTAACCAAGTCGAAATCAAAAAGGCTATTAATGAGGTGCAATCAAAAATGGAGGCTCTAACTGCTAGGATAAATGAGGCAGAAAAGAGAATTAGTGATATAGAAGACCAAACGATGGAAAATAAAGAAGCTGAGAAAAAGAGAGATAAACAACTACTGGATCAAGAGGGCAGAATTCGAGAGATAAGTGATACCATAAGACGAAACAACATTAGAATAATTGGGATCCCAGAAGAAGAAGAAGAAGAGAGAGAGAGGCAGAAGGTATATTGGAGCAAATTATAGCAGAGAACTTCCCTAATTTGGAGAAGGAAACAGGCATCAAAATCCAGGAGGCACAGAGAACCCCCCTCAAAATCAATAAAAATAGGTCAATACCCTGACATCTAATAGTAAACCTTACGAGTCTCAGAGACAAAGAGAAAATTCTGAAAGCAGCTCGGGAGAAGAGATCTGTAACCTACAATGGTAGAAACATTAGATTGGCAACAGACCTATCCACAGAGACCTGGCAGGCCAGAAAGGACTGGCAGGATATATTCAGAGCACTAAATGAGAAAAATATGCAGCAAGATTACTATATCCAGCTAGGCTGTCATTGAAAATAGAGGGAGAGAGAAAAAGCTTCCAGGACAAACAGAAACTAATTTGCAAACACAAAACCAGCCCTACAAGAAATACTGAAAGGGGTCCTCTAAGCAAAGAGAGAGTATGGAGGTTCCTCAAAAAGTTGAAAATAGAGCTACCATACGACCCAGCAATTGCACTACTGGGTATTTACCCCAAAGAAACAAATGTAGGGATCCAAAGGGGTACATGCACCCCGATGTTAATAGCAGCAATGTCCACAATAGCCAAACTGTGGAAAGAGCCAAGATGTCCATCAACAGATGAACGGATAAAGAAGATGTATATATATACAATGGAATATCATGCAGCCATCAAAAGGAATGAAATCTTGCCATTTGCAACGACGTGGATGGAACTGAAGGGTATTATGCTAAGCGAAATAAGTCAGAGAAAGACATGTATCATATGATCTCACTGATATGAGGAATTCTTAATCTCAGGAAATAAACTGAGGGTTGCTGGAGTGGTGGGGGGTGGGAGGCATGGGGTGGCTGGGGGATAGACATTGGGGAGGGTATGGGCTATGGTAAGCGTTGTGAATTGTGTAAGACTGTTGAATCACAGACCTGTACCTCTGAAACAAATAATACATTATATGTTAAAAAAAGAAAATAGGAAAGGAAAAATGAAGGGGGGGTGGAATCAGAGGGGGAGACGAACCATGAGAAACTATGGACTCTGAGAAACTGAGGGTTCTAGAGGGGAGGGGGGTAGGGGCATGGGTTAGCCTGGTGATGGGTATTAAAGAGGGCACGTATTGAATGGAGCACTGGGTGTTATACACAAACAATGAATCACGGAACACTACATCAAAAACAAATGATGTAATGTATGGTGATTAATATAATTTTCAAAAATGTTGCATGTGCTATATCCAATTTTTCTTGCTGTGAGGAATATTCTTAAAACCACAACAAAATGCTATTGAAAAAGTGACAGAAAAAAAGGGTTTGTTCTTGGCCACATTTCTCTAAGCCAGGAGCTGGCAACCCTTTTCTTATTTATAAAGGGCAGATGGTAAATATTTTGGGCTTTGTGGGCCAAGAGGAAAAGTGAAGATACCAGGTTGGTACTTATACACGGAAAGAGAAAAAAATCTCCACAAAATTTTTATTGATGAAATTCAAATTATAAGAACAACCATGGAGTACTTCTGTTTTTTGTTTTTTGGGGTTTTTTTGTTTGTTTGTTTTTTGTTTTTTTGCTAATGCAGGTGTACCAAGGAGAACAGAATTCCTTTTGGGGTGGGGGTGGGGTTAACATTTCAGTTACCTGGGATTCAAAATGATCCTCCTCTGATTGTAAAAAAAAAAAAAAAAATCTATTGTAAATGTTCATCTGTTCATGTGGATCCATGAGACTTTATGTATTTTATCTTGAATATTTCACACAGCCTAAATACTGCGAAATACATCAATCCACAAGCACATGATTCTAACGGAGCACATTCATCACGTAGAAGGTATTTATGGAATTCCATGAGGCTCTCCTTGATAGTTGCCTTGTATGTGTCACCACACTGCAAATGAGTCACTTGCAAGCCAGTTAGGTGGAAGCTGCTTGATTAGTCTGATATTACTTGGGAGTTCAAATCATCACTGTCATAAGTGACTTGCCTGAAATACAAGGTTTGCATAGAAGTGCTATTTTGTCCTGTAATTTCAGGTTGAATTAAACATTATCAAGTCTGCAGCAAAAACTAACTTTCAAAGAGATAATAGTGGTTAAGGGCAGTTCTCACTGGGAAAAAATTTCAATCTTGTTCCTGGGCTTAAAAAAAAAGTTTTTTTGTTTTGTTTTGTTTTTTCACAGTAAAATTTATCACTGCTAAGCCCCAGAACTGCTGTGTGGTCCAGCAAGTCACACTGTTCAGTTTCTATTTCTGACAAAAATTCACAGAACTGATCATGGCAGAGTCCATGAGTGAATCAAGTTCACTGCTGATGCTGCTGGTTCAATAAAACGATACATGACAGATTCAAGTGTTTCCTGTAAAGTACCTGATGAATAATAAATAACCATTGGCTTAAGCTTACATTTGCATAAGCTTTGTAAATGTACCCCCTAGCCTTCTTCATACATATCTTCACCACCATTCATTGTAACACATTTCACTTCAGGTTGTATCAATTTTTGTTTTCTCAACTTGTTGGAAAATATTCTTGCCTGTACCTGGTTTGATGCAGACTTTTCAGAGGCCAATGCTTCAGTCACTTCAACCTTGGCATTGACTCCAAATAACAACCAGGCAGTACCAGGAACCTCTATCAACTCATCAAGAGACGCGGAAATAATTTGCTTTGTTTTTTTATGGAAATGACAGAATTGAGCCTATTTTTATTCCAGTGTTACCTTGGTGCAAGAAGATTTTTTAGGCTTTCTTTGTACTGCAGGTCTAGATCCAGTTTCCTACATATAATTATATTTGTTATAATGACTTTGTGCACTGAGATATCTCCAGATATTCTGCACTAGCAGGATTTCTGACAGTGATCTTGCAAATATCCTCATCCAAAAAGGTTCAAAATGCATTAGTGTATCTAAACCCTCACACACACCAATGCACAAAGACCAGGAAAAAAACAAAAACAAACAAAACAAAAAAGGAGTGTCAAGCACTTGGGAATCAACAAAGAACATTAGTGATAATCAGGATTAATTTTGAGGAAAATGACACTGTTGGGGTTTTAGAAAGAATAAACAACCGGCATAATGAAATATTTGCAATATTTTTTTCATCTTCTGTGAAGGGACTTGTTTTCCCAACAAGATGTGAGTATCTGTTACATAAATAAATGTAAGTCTTATAATTACAATAGGGAGGAAAACTTCACTCTATGGTTTAATTTTCTCTTTCCAAACCCCTTTTTTTTTTTACATATCCATTTATTTATTTTTATATTATTATTGGTATTCTAGATATTATAATGTACTTCAAGTAATCAGTCTGACTTCAAAAAATTCTATTTTGCCAATTAATAATAGTCTTACAATGATATACATTTAGTTATCATCTTTCTGCCTTGTGTTCTCTTGTTTTCATGTAGTTTACCCTAAAATATGCTATAAATACCATATCACATTATTAACACTTAGTCAATAGTCTTTGTTTTTTGACTGATATGGTTCCCAATGTCCTCAGTTCTTCAAGCTGTTGGTTGTTGCTGAAAGCCTGATGATCTTAAATAAGTTTATTTTATCTGCACATGTATCTTTGGCTGCTCCAATTAAATACGATTTAACTCACTATCGGTAATTGGTTTTATTTATTTGGCTAACACTGGAGTCACTCTGACACACTTTGGTTACAGCCTCACTTGAATTTTTTTATTTCTGTGAAGAAATTCTGCTGTAACAAAATACTCCATGTTCAATATTCTAATTTCCTGACCTCTGCTTTCCTGTGAGCTGGGAATACTGTGAGTGCTCAGGATGGTAATGCATTCACATTATGATGCACAGCTGTTGCATGGCGGCATCATAAACACGACGATCTGCCACCTGACTTTGTAAAATAGTCCACGTTTTCACAGTGTTAAAAAGCATTGGCATTCAAAGTCCACTTTTATAGGCTCTGGTCATTTTTTAAAAAAATGTCACAGGACGGTGATGTGCGGGGATGTGTGGCACTTGAAACACGGTCAAATTATAAACGCGTCACTGCTATTTGTAGCCCACCGAGTGCCCACTCAAAGCAATCAGAGCACCACCTCAGTCTCTACTGCAACTCCGTGAACGTCTCTGCTCTTGTAGCATCAAAGTGCACAGACGGTACAGAAATAAGTGAGCATGGTTGTGTGCCAATAAAACTTTATTTACGGACACTGAAATTTAAATTTTTTATAATTTTTACATGTCACAATATATAATTCTTTTTTTAAAACCATTTAAAAATAAATATGAAAAAAATTAAACATTCTAGGCAAAAACAGGAAGTAGGAGGAAAAAACCAACAGGAAGTGGGCCAGATCTGGACCATGGGCTATCGTGTGCAGATTAGGCAGTCTATTCTAGAGTTTTACAAAACAATGATTTGGCTTTTAGTAAGGTATGTTCAACTTGAAAATCATACCAGAGAAAACTTGTAATATTTTTTTTTAAAGATTTATTTATTTTAGAGAGAGAATGCACGCATGCAAGCGGGGGCAGGGGCAGAGGAAGAAGGACAAGCAGACTCCACGCTGAGTGCGGAACCCCATGTCAGGCTCAGTTCACAACCCTGAGATCATGACCTATCTTTAACTGACTGAGCCACCCAGGTGCCCCAAGAAGACTTGTAGTATTAAACATATCAACTTCCAAAGTAATGTTTTTATTCAAAAGGTATTAATAATGTTATTTCATAAAAGTATGTCCATGTTGGGGCTAGACTGGGGTAGGAAGTATATGCTACAAAAAAGTATTACCGAATTATTGAGTTAGGCAGGGGATTTAGGGCTGAAAAATACCGTGAAACTTACAACACTTTAATGAGGTATCATACTATCATCTGATGAGCTCATTTAATTAGAAAGATAATTACCTAATGATATAACTGGCCTCTTTAAAACACTTTCACCCAGGGGGCACCTGGGTGGTGCAGTCAGTTAAGTGACCAACTCTTGGTTTCGGCTCAGGTTATGATGATCTCAGGGTTGTGAGATCAAGCCCTGTGTTGGGATCTGGGCTCTGTGGGGAATCTGCTTAAGACTCTTTCTCTCCCCCTGCTCCTTCCCCCTGCGTTCACCCACACACTCTCTAAAATAAATAAATCTTAAAACAAAACAAAACACTTTCACCCAGGATTTTATCCTACAGAAATACCCTCACGTGTCCAAAAAGAGTATATATTGCAGCAAAAACTGCCAACAACCATCCGTCATTAGGTCACTGGCTATATAAATTTTGATATGTTAATAATACATGGGAATACTAGGCAGCCAATTGAAAGAATGAAGAAAGAATACAAAGAATAAAGACAAACAGAAGATAATGCAGCTAAAGACCTACTTGCATTCCCAATGCAGAGAAACTCTCATACATGTGCAGAATTATTCAAAGGAGCATTGTTTGCAACAGAAAAAATGGAAACAAACTTTATAACCAAACAGGAGAACAGACAGTGATATATTCACCCATGGAAATTTACACAGTAGTGAAAATGAATGAGCCATAGATACATGCATCCACATGGATGAAACCTCATGATGGGGAGGGAAAACAAATTGTAGACTATAGAAGGACGTCATTTCTCTCAAATTTAACAAGTGAAGAAACAGTCTGCATTATTCAGGAATACATCATACACATGTAGTAGAAGTATACACACAAACGGTAACCACAGACCTTAGGACAGAAGATATCAGGGAAGAACAACAGAATTGGCAAACCTTAAGCCAGACACACAGATACTCATTATATTATTATTTGTATTTTCTGTGCATCTGAAATGTTACAACCTTTTGGAATGTTCATCATCCATGCGTAATACATACGTACTTTGGTCAGTGAAAAGATGCAGAACAAAGGTTGTAGAACATGTTATCACTTGTGTGTGACTGTGTGTTTTTAAAGAATATACTCCTATCTTTTTGTTTCTGAACAGAATACGTCTGTCTGGACAGGACACAGATCCTTAAAGGAATTGCCACCGGGAAGCACTGGGTAGGGGGGAAAAGAAGAGCGAAGGAGACTTAAGTTTATGTTTTCAAATTTGCATCTGGTACCACGGGCCTGTACCCAGCTTTCCAAACAAGAAATTTAATTTTTGTCCTTGACCCAACGGCCTGGTAGGTCAGCATTGAAAGACAGGAAAGAAGGGGGAAAGGAAGGAAGAAATTACTGAAGAGTGACTAGAATTCCCAAATCCTGGCACAGGCCGAGACTTCCCAGGTCACGCCCCACGCGGCCCCCCTCCTGCCGCACCCTGACCGCGCGCCATCCATCCCGTCCTTCCAGTGTTTCTGTGACCAGGCTCTTCACCTCACAATGGGAACTACTAAGTGCCAAGGATAGAGCTTCCTTCTCACTGAGCTCGGCAGTATGGGAAATGCAGTGGGTCAGGACTCAAAGGCCACAGACTCTTAATGTTCTTACTCAGATTCAGATGTTCATGAGTAATGTCTCTCCGTTTGCTCTATTTTTTTTTTTTAATAATTTTCACCAGTTATGGCTGTTTCACTACGAGGAAGGTCTGTGAAGCTATTCCACTAACGCATACTTAAGGGAGCGGAATTTTTTATACTCAATTGAAAAAGATCATTTGCTGTTTGTTTCTGATGCACCTTTTCATTTTACAAGGTCCTAGGGTGGCTGATCCCCAAGTCCTCTTCCATTCTAAACATGTATGAGTTGATGTCTTAGATGGTCATTATCTTCAAATTACTGCAGATGGTCAATTTCCTATGCTTTCCTAATCTAGAACACAACAGTCTCAGAAACTAAATAATGGACAAGTAAAAGGGTTAATAGATGTCTTGAATAGGCAGCCAATTTTTTGTACATTTCTAGAAGTGAGCTAAGTTATATATATAACCCAAATATGAAAATAATGAAACTCATCTATCCACCAAAACCACGCAAAAATTAGTCAGGGTTATCACACAAGCCTTGTCGCAGAAACAATGACACCAAATGTGAAAACCGCTCCAGAGACAGTTTTCAGATTGTATCCATCCTGTGTACCTACAGTGTAAACTTACCAATATTCTCTTCTGCCTACTACTACGAAGAGCATCAACTTGTTTTAAGAAAAAGAAAACAGATCATCATTCACTGAGTCCACACCTATCCAGCAACAGGCCGCACATCGACTGCAGGAGATGGCCGAGGGCCATCGCCCCCTGCCTTCCCCATCCTGCTCCCCAACGCGCAGGACCACGCCGCGACACGGGACCGTGCCGCGACACGGCAAGGCTGCGCAGTAAAGCACACGCAGTGTGGCAGGAAGAGCAGACAAGAGGGCCAGCTGCGGTGCTGAAGAGAAAATGAGAAAGCATTCATTAGGAGGAATATCAGGTGGAGAAAATGGCCAGAGACACAGCGGCACCTGAAAGCAAGGAGCATTAGAGGAACAAGAGTCTCAGGACGAGGCAAACTGAGAATCAAAGGAAACAAGATGTGAAAGTGGATGGAAGCTAGGGAATGTGATCATGGCAAGGTGTTAAGGTCTCTCCCCAGGCTAACATCATGGTAATGTGGACTTTGAGAAAGCTAACTGCAGGGGCTCTGGGCAAAGCCAACGAAAGGACGCAGGGAGAGGCAGACCTTCTCTGGCTCAGGCCCGGAGGCAGCGGCCTCTAGCAGCGTCCCAGGCCAGGTGACTACGTATCCCCAGACAGACGCAGTTCATGTTAATGGACGGTAAAAAGTGGGGTGGGTGTTCAGGGTGTCTCCCAAGGTTGGGCTTGGGCAACCAGGTGGACAAAACCACAGTGACCAGAAGATATGACCCTGGTACAGATGCTCAGAGCAGATGGCTGTGTGGCCACGTCAGAAAGCATCTCAAGGGGCTCCTGGGCGTTTGCCTTTGGCTCAGGCCATGATCTCAGGGTCCTGGGATGGAGCCCGCATCGGGCCCCCTGCTCAGCAGGGGGTCTGCTTCTCCCTCTTTCCCCTTCTCTTGCTTGTGCGCACTCTCTCTTTCTCTCTCTCAAATAAATAAAATCTTAAAAGAAAAAAAAAGAGAGAAAGCATCTCCATACAGACCTGAAGCTCAGTACGGAGGCAGGGGCTAAGAGCACAGAGATTCTAGCACACGGATGTTGCTGGGACCTTGCAAGTAGCTAAGGTCACCTGGTAAGAGTGCAGAAGGCAGCTGAAGGCGGATTATCTATTAGTGACTATCAACAATGAAACAGCAGGTGAGGAGAGAAAGAGGAATCAACAAATGAACCTTTGATCTGAAATCCTGGTTAGATAATAAAAGTATGTCCTGAAACATGAGAACACACACAACTTGGGAGGACAGTGGTAGTTGTAACCCTAAAGTGCTTAACATCCTACAAGAATTTAAAATTACTTTAGGAGTAAGTCCAGAAAAGTCAAGGACATTTTACTAGTTTAAAGTAGGAGGTATTACCTATTCTGAAATAACCATCTTCTAATCGTTTGTCTTTGGTTTCTTTGCTTATTTCCAAACCTTCACTCTAAAACAGAACAAAAACATTAACTTTATACAAATCATTACTTCTATTTAAAACAGATCTAATATATCTTAATAAACATAAAAGTGGTGTTTGTGGCACAACTATCTCTAAAAAAGAGAAAATGTCATCTCAGTCTTGAACCTTAAAGAGTTTATCAATACAAATATTCTTTTTTTAACTATCTGAAGCCATCAATCTCTCTCTCTATATTTGTGGTTAGAAAATTTAAATTTTAATTAATTTTAATAGGGTACTATTTTTATTAAAAATAAAAAACTGTGTTAACTTAAAAGAAATCTAAGCACTCCTTAAAGACCAGCAAATTAATTTTGTGTATTAAACAACAAGCATTAAAGCCACATGGGATTTCGGGACTCAAACTATACACAGCAGTTAAGCATTAAAGTAAAATGATGATTCACTTATCTTCCTAGTATGAACTTCCAAGATATTTTCCACCAGGAAACAAAATGGAGGCTCTTTCTATGAATAAGACAGATGGAACAATACACTAAGTGTTCCCCATTTAAAAAAAAAAAAAAATTTAACCTTGCTCCCACTAAGGTCCTGCGATCATGAGAATTTTCTTCCACCTCATAAACAAGAATAACCTCAAACCAAGTCCCCTGGTCTTCGTTCTTTAGAAAAATTAGGGGGAAAAAATAGGCATACCTTAAAAGGCAAAACTTCCACAGTTGTGTTTAGCAGAATATCTCCTGGATGTTCTTGGTTGCCGCTGTGGAACAAATAACTGAAAAGACGAACATAAAAATAAAAGTATGAGTCAGATTAGACTTCGCGGAGATTCAGGAAAACGGCTTTACCTCAGAGCGAGCGTTCTAAATGAGACTCTGACTGCAGGGCAGACAGCACGGGGGGCTCATATCAAGGGCACATTATGTATTCTGAATAGTTGCAGGAAACTTGAAAACTTAAGGATGCAACCCTTAGGTGATGTGTTAATTCCTTCCATCAGAAGGGGCATGTTTGTTGCTTAATGTAATAATGTATTTAACAGATTTTTTTAAAAAGGACAGTTTTAGGCTGTGGTTTACACTGTTTTAAATATAGACACCTCTCAAGAAGAATAATCAAAGCTGCAGCATCTATATAATATTACTACTGTATCTTGTATCAGAGAAAATTTTCGCCAGGACAGCCATGAGCCATGGCAAGCTCAAAGACTGGTTTTATCCGATACAAATAGTTTTCGTATTCGTAGCCTGAGAATAAATTAACCAATTCCAAATATCTGAATCATTCCACTTATCACCATGAACAAACAATTGAAAAACAACTATGATCAATCTAAAATACTCTCTGGGTATGAGGATAATGTCCTCAGGTTCTGATACCCTGAAAACTAGTGTGGGTATGTAAGTGTGTGTTGTGGCG